TGCCAAGCAAAGTAAACACGGCTCACACTTAAAGAAATATAAGGTAACAGAGACACTGAGAAACATTTTAATTATGGGAAGCTCCTGGATGCTTAAAATGGTCAAGTGATTCACAGCAGTAGACATATTCAGATCCTTTGAGAAAAAGCATTAACATGATGAAAAAAATATATATTCAAAAAATGCAGAATGCAAGAAATGTTATCAAAGCTATCAAAGTTATAAAAGCATATGGGAATATTGGTTTAATTAGAATATCTTTCCAGTATCAGTGTCACTATATTGCAGATGTATGCAAAAATCACATTTCAAATAAACAAACTTATGTCAGGTGGCATGTTGGTACAGTGGTTGGCATTGTTGCCTCACAACGAGCAGGTTCCTGGTTTGAACCTGGAGTGGCTGGCTACTGTAACTAAGGGGATTGTTTTGTTCTGAGGCAGTGCAACTTCTACTCTCCTTTGACTGTCCACCCATGAAAGTGTCAAGATTGAAATGTCTGGATTAAGAACGAGCGAAGCGGCTGTCATTTTCAACAGCTTGTTTGAAACGTCTCTGTCGTCCAGTGTCAGCTGGGATAAGCTCCAGCGACGACCCCTAACAGCATAAGAGGTTACGGAAAATAAATGAATGAAACTAATGCCAAATGCATCTAAATGTTCTTTACTGTCATCAAAGGCATATGTTTAAACGTGTAAAACGACTTAGGTTTGAAAGGAATACTTCACCCCCTGAGTGACTATTTGAACATCAATTATTCATAATAATAATATTAATGCATTATACTTAGTATATAGCGCTTTTCAAGGCACTCAAAGACTCATAAGACTCTGAGACTCTCCCATGTTGCACTTAATTAATGAAGAAAATGTAGAAAAAAGTGTTGTTGGTTTCCTGTGATTGAAGAACAAAGTCTCACACAACTTGTGCAGTATAATCCAAGTCTCATTGATCCAGTCGTATACTCAGAACTTCCCACACAGACTGTTCTTTTTGACGGGGTACTCAGCGGAAAGTTAAACTTATTTCTGCTCTCTTTAAAACCAGACTCCATTGACAAAAACAGTAATTTTACCTCGCCGAACATGAAAGCTGCTCGTCTACCGCTACCTCGATCAGTAACTTTGTCTTTGTTACTGTGTGATTTTAGTATTTTAAAGGCTTAGTTTGGATGCACCAAAGTCACACAATAACACAAACAAAGTGCCAATCGAGGCAGCGGTAGACCAGCAGCTCCTGTGTTCAGCAAGGTAGAATTACAGTTTTTGTCAATGGAGTCTGGCTTTGAAGAGAACATGGATAAGTTTCCCTTTGTAGTATAGTTTCCTGTTGGAATGGGTTGTCTGTTTGGGAAGTACTGAGCATACGACTGGATAAATGAGACTTGGATTATACTGCTCGAGTTATGTGAGAGTTTGTAAATGGATGTTTTGATACAGTTTTGCTGTTGTTAAACTTGGACCCCTATGACTTCAATTCAATCAAGAATTTTCTCAGTTTTTGGATTCTTCGTTCGCTTTCCTCACAAATTCAACATAACACACAGGGAGTAATTGATATATAAATGATCATTTGAGGAGTGAAATATTCCTTTAAGTGTAAAAGTTCATGGCCATGACTGAACGCAAAATAATCTCAGGTCAGAGGTCTCACTTTTTGTTGCTTTCAACAGCCTCTCATAGTCAAGCTGAAGCAAAATGACATTGTTTTAACACCCCAAAACCACTTAAGACGATGTCAGCTGTGGGCCCAAACCCAACATTTAATATCCCAGTTTATGTCTGATCAGCTACTAATTATCAACATTGGTTTATTTTACCATGTAGACCTGCTTTCCCAAAACATGTAGCTTTAGTTGCCTGTAGCGTGCAGGTTCACCATGGGGATGTCACATCAGCAATCATTAAGTCATTTTAGGAGCAGTCAGTATAGGAAGCACTGACAGACCACCTCATCTACCAACCTTTCCATTTCCACAGACACATAGATGCATGTTCATCATCTTATTTTGGATAACAAGGCTCATAAATAACAGACAATAGCAAATGTATGTGCATACAGCCGTCCTCATTTGTTCTCACCTGATTTCAACCAGGAGCAAAGCTAGTTTGGAGTGCTGCATACAAGCAGCGCACTGCCTTAAGATTCCTTCTCTTCCCGCTTCCTGTAAAAGAGCAATCATTTCTTCATTAGCCTTTTATTTGTTTCTAACTGTTCCACTTCAGGGGTAACACACACAGTTTATTTGGGTACTCTTAATTACAAAAGGGAGATTGTGTGCCCTCCTCGCCAAAATGAATGTCTCTCTCCGCCTCCCAGAGGGCAACAGCAGCTTAGAGTTGGACTGTATCTGATTGCATTTTCCAGGATTGATGAAGTTATCGAAATACTGACCAGACTCACTCGGACCTTATCTCGCTTGTATGTGGCTGTGAAGTCTTTAACCTGTGTCTTTCACCCTTGAGGTGAGGAGGATTAAGAGGAGAAATGCCTTTATTTCCTATTTGTTAGTTTTTGAGATTTTTTTTCCTTTGGAAGGAGAAGCCCGGGGGCTGTGAGCTCAGTCACGATAAATTACATTGCAGTGCTGTTTCTCTCTCCAGATAGCCGTTCAGGAGGTATAGCTACCTTCAGGATCTTTTCATTTTTCGTGCCGTTATTAAACACAGTGATAGAATCGGCTTCCCTAGTTGATTCAGAAATGTCAGGGTTGACAACAGAGGGAGAAATATAGCTTTCTGTTTGCAGTTCACTGTCACCTTCAACATCATATCTAAGACAAAAACACCTCTGCAGACACAAGTGAACACCTGCACATGGACACACACAGAAATCTCCTACAAATTAAGTTTATACGAATCTAATTTGTAATAGTGACTCATACTTACTGCCAACATTTGGAGCCAGTGCAGGAAACAGTTGCATTATGCAGGGACAGGTGAGTGTGCTAGTTTAAAGTGTTTAGCTTATTTATCTAAAACATCATTAACTACCTCTATAAGAAATAGTTTGACATTTTGGGAACAATCTTACCAGCTTTCTTGCAGAGATTTAGAGATTTTGTTAATATAGGACAGAGCCAGGCTAGCTATATTCCTCTGTTTCCTATCTTTAGGCCAAGCTAAGCTAACCAGCTACTAGCCCCAGCTGTACATTTACAATACAGACAAGAGAGCCATATCTATATTTTTATCTGATGCTTGATAAGAAAGTGAATTGCCCAAAATGTCAAACACAGAAGTAGTCTTTTGATCATTAAGAAGCTGATTGGGAAAACATGTTTTAAGGGCCTTCAGGAATAAAGAAGTGCTTTAATTTGTCTTAACATATAGCTGCATTAATTGGTCTTTGGTCACTAGGGGGAAGAAGAAAACCAAAATTAAATTGACAGACACAAAGTCCTACCTTAAATACTGCTCGTCCGAAGTGATCCAAGTGCCCTGAAGCCCCAACATAAAAAGTTGTTTGGAAAAATGTCATTTGAACTCTGTTTTTAGCCTCATTGTAGCCTGTAGCTCTAACTGCCTCTCTGTGGACCTCGTTCACGTGTGGCGAGACCAGCGAAAGCACGTGAACACACATGAACGCGGTGCCCATGTCTCACGGTCTCGCGCAAGCACACACATGTGAACACGGTGCACAGAGAGGCAGTTAGAACTACAGGCTACAATGAGGCTAAAAACAGAGTTCAAATGATGTCTTTCCAAACAACTTTTCACGTCAGGGCTTCAGGACACTTGGATCACTACGGACGAGCAGTATGGAGATATTTTGTGGTTTCAATTATGTGTTTTTGGAGGTCTGAATCTGGGGCGCCGTAAGCCTCCATTAGGTGGAGTTGTGTTGCTACCCCCTCTCCCCTTGGATCTCCGCAAGTGTTGTGAGGACTCTAAAACTTCACCTGAGCCTCCCTCGGCATATGGGTGAGTAGATAATGGCTGAATTTTAATTTTTGGGTGCACTATCCCTTTAAGATTGCCTTCTAAAGTTGATAAGACTAACATGTTAACAAAAATATGCTTACTTACACACAAACACAGTCCACAAATGCACAGGTATTGGTTCTTGGGCCACATGATGAATATATATAAAATACTGTGTTGTAGCTTTGGTTTGATCTCTACCATCTTCTGAGAAAAAACATCCTTTTGAAAGTTAGGATTGAACTAAATAAGTTTTATGGGTGGCTATCAGCCTTATAGATATGGGTTAGAAGGTTCCAAGTAGGTTTGGAAGGCCACTATCAGCAGGGCTGGGTATCAGTACTCAATACTTTTAAGGTATTGATCGGAATAACCCAGTACCAAGTGGTGTCTAAACTTCTCCAGTCTAACGATAACTGCATTTAAGCTTTTTTTTTTTTTTTTACCAAGATCTGGGAAAAAAATGACTATTTGTATGGTTTTGCAGCATATCATCATTCTTTGGTGATTGCTGTACTAACACAGCAGCTACAACCCATTTATTCTGTGGTGTGCTGAAGGTGAGCACAGTGTATTTGATAAAGTTGTAAATAATTATTAACTTCAACACTTTAAAAATGTGTTGTGTAAAAATCATTTGGATGGGGAGGAGTGGTGGCGGCATGTTTTGCAATTGAATGCTTCAAGTCAAATGATGGTCATCAAATGAAGTAAAAAAATATATATATATAAAATGAAGTAGTCTATTGTTATTGGTATCACTTTAAGGTTGGTATTGTAATTTTTAAACAATTCCCAGCCCTAATTATTAGTCCCTTAAGTGTGAATTGTCAGTTGTTATTTGGAGCAGTTTCATCAGGTTTTACGGCCCAAAACTAAGCATTTAGGTTGAGAAAAAATATAATGGTTTGGGTTAAAATAAGTAGGTTTGTAAGGTAATTGTACAAAAGTGTGACTAGGTCACCACAAAATGTATCCTTTCAGTGCCCTCTGAAGGCTGCCAGTGGTACTGTCTCCTTAATTGGTTATTGTTCATTTTAGTCAGGCATAGTTCGGTCACCTATAGAGGGGCCTAATCCCACATGTTCTCCATAGGAGTCAGTTTGACTCTCCACCTGACAGAGTAACAACCTGTATGTGTCCATGAAGAATGTAAGTTGTGTGTCACATTAGTTATTGGGTTTCTTGCTGGAAATAAGATTTAGTTAAGTCTAATTCTTGCCAATTGACCTAGCTTAGCATTTTAGCTGATTTTGCTAGCAGCTTAATTTACTTGAAATCCACTTGTAAGGAAGCTACACTTGTCATATTTTGCAATTTCATATTTTCGTTAGCATGTTAGCTTAGCATTACTAGCTAAGTTAGCTTAGCATTACTAGCTAACATCAAAGATTAGCATTTATTAGCCTCTGGTGATGGGTTAGCTGTGTGTTGCACGCAGAAGGCCTGTATGCCGGCAGTTTCTTTGAACCTTGGTAGTGTTCCCTATAGTATTTCGATGGTATTTCTGTAATGTTTCAGTAATATCCTGATAGTATTTCTGTAGTATTCCTGTAATACTCAGATAATTTTTTTTGTGATATTCATAGTATTTTGGCCTAAATTGTAGTTCAGTTTATTGTTACAAGGTACTGATAATCCATTCTGTTGTGATTCTGTTTCAGCTACCATACATATGTACATACCCTGTGCCTACCTGGGACCTGAATAAACGTCATAAAACGAATACCTGCCTACCATGTCCTTACCGACACCCCCCAGTTGATAGTCAAACTCCGAAATCCTGAACCAGCCATCTACCTCATCCTTCACATGGTCCTTCACAGTAACGTAAGGTAAGGGTAACATAACGTAACGTGACAAACTTAAGTACTACGTCTGTTAAAATATGTTAAAATTCACTAATTCTTTGACACAGGACAGGAACAGCGGTCTCCTAGGTGAAAGTCCTCTGTTTTTTAGACCACCCATCTCCCTTTGCTCTTTATACTGTGTCACCTGACTTCCTTCTTTGCTGCCGTCATCATTACTACAGCCACTAGATGTCCTCACCGAACAAATAACAGAGGTTTAATGGGCTGATGGCCTTCTGGACTCTGCTAACCAATATCAATGAGGCTGCTAACCACTGATAATGCCCATTTCAGGGAAGGATAACATTCGAAGCAGGGGAAAAAATTTCAATTTTCTTTAACAGTCACTTACTTTGTTTACTACTGGTGTTGCGCAGGTATCACACAGTGGGTTTATCAGAGCTTTTTAGTTTTCTGAAAACAACCGCTGCTTTAAACAGGGAAGATGAGAGCCTTGGGACTGAACTAAGCAGTGAATGAGCTGTACAACCAAAGTTTGAACAACTTAAAGAGGCTAAAAGCCCTACAAGTAACTCCTTTCACATTAGATACATATTTTATTGAATGTACATATGGACACTGAATGCTGTTGTATGATAAATATCTCAATCATGCCTAAGTTGCCATGACAACATTATAATATGTTTAATGTGATTGGAAAAAAGTATCTGGTTAGAATGTTGTTTCACCCGAAATATGTTCATCTGTATGTGATCAGACTGTTTTTCTTTACATACACACACTGATGCATGCACAACATATAAACACCTATAGTGATTTCCTGGACAGTAACGTTCTTGATATCTATCCAAAATCCTGGAGGGTGAGGCTAAAAGGCCTTAAGTCTCATCCACAATTGATTAAGGGCATCGGACTCAGTGTACATTAATTCAGTTTACGGCCATTAAAAGAAGAAGAATGCTTGGGCTTGCAAATGGCAAACTAAGACTGTCAACGGCATGATGTATGGTAGCTTATTATATTCCACTCATTATGATTAATAACATAGGAAGGAATCCTCCATTCTTGTCAAGATGGAAAATGCAATTAGCTGCCTTGGCTGGCGTTGCAAGCCAGGCCTCCTCTTGGCTGCTCACATCCCCAAGATAAAACACCCAGTTTACAGCGGGAGACTCAGCATATAGTGCATGAAAACCTGCAGCTGTTTACACATCATCCCTTTCTTTCTGTTTCCCCAACATGCTTCTCTTTGATCAAGATGTTGTAAATGTTGCAGAAATTTGATATAGTTATGATTTTAAGTCGATATGACATTAACTCTTTCTATTCTTGTCTCTAAGACGTAATGAGAACTGCTGATTTATTTGAGAAAAGTGGCGTTAAGGGAGTATGAAATCAAGAAAAACACTTTCCTTTAAAATGTAATTGATTTTTGTTTATATTTGTGGTTGTGTTTCTAATGATGGCCACATACAGGAGGTCATAGTTTGCCCATATTTGTTTTTTCCACTGGGCAGAGTTGTGAGAGGGGCGAGCAGAGGGTTGGAGTGGGGCTGATAGTGGTGGTGGAAGTGAGTAATGGCGAAGAGCAAAGGGAGGGCATTCTCATCATTTCTGCCGCTGCACCTGCAATCAGCACCTTTGAGACTGATCGAGCTAAACATCAATTAATGCCGCGATATCCTCACGGAGACCCGGCTCGCTTTCACCTGGACTCTCAGCAGCAGCCTTCCGATTACAGTAATGACTGTGTTCGACCAAGAGACACTGATGGGAGATGGTGTTTTAGTGCAGTACTTTGCTCTCCGTGTGTTCAACTTGTGTAGCACGAAGGTACGATAAGAGATTTACTTCATAGCTTGATGCAAATCCACAGGCATATGAGGGTGGAAATAAATATCTTTTCTTGTGTGTTGTGTGATTACATTTGTTTAAACCAAGAAAAATCAGGCAGTAAACAAGACATACTGGTTAGTTTGTGTCTTTATTTCTTTACGTATTGGTCAAATGTATGTTTAAGGCCATATGAACAACAAATTTGACGTCAATTCAAGAACAAACGTCCTTGTTGCAAGGGTATGAAGTAAATTAGTGATACTTAACATAATAAAATAAGCAGTGGTGGAAAGTAACTACTATAGTGTACTGAAGTACAACTCTGGGTACTTGTATTTTATTTTTCTTCCATTTTTGGCAAGTACTTCTCATCAATTCAGAGGGAAATGCCGTATTTTTTTACTCCACTCCACATTAAATTGACAGCTTAGTTACAAGCTGATGTGCAGATTCAAATTAGAAATATAAAATACAATCAATAGACACATTATGATATATTATTATAATTAAAAATAAGACTGTTTACAAGCAACCCTTCAGCAGCTATCTGAAATGGGCCATTCTGCATAATGGGTACTTTTACTTTTTGCACTTAAAGTAAATTTTGATCAGGGGCTTAAATATAGACAGTGCAGACAGTGTGCTGGCACTGGGGCCCATGCAGAAGGTGGGCCCTCCAACAATGTGCTGGGATGAGAATGGGCCCTTATGAGTGATTGTGACTTTGGAAATATGCCTGTTTTCAGAGAACTCTCATTAAATTAAAAACAGTGCCATTTGCTACACATGCCCTTGAGAAATGCACACCCATCTTCATCACTTTTCTGTTTTTGTTTCGTGGTAAAATAGTTAATAACATCCACAACAAAATTATATGCTTATTCCAGATAAACTAAACTATTAAAATTGCTAAATTAAATCAATACTTTCTCATTTTCTTTGGTATTTTTTGTCATAGACAGATATGCAATGATGATTGTTAGGTGATATGTATATTCATGTTATCCAATGTCAAGTCTCTGATCATGTGACGAGACCATATGTGCACAATAGCATGCACTGAGGCATGTCGCAGTTAACTTACCCCACTGATTCTGATGCTAATACTTCTGTACTTTTACTGAAGTTTAATTTTAAATGCACAACTTTTACTCATAACAGAGTAACTCTACACCGTGACATTGCTACTTTTATTTAAGTAAAATATCTGAGTTCTTCCTTCATGCTGCTAATTAGAGAAAATGGCTACTTAAAAAAAAAAGACCAAGCATTACAGATTAGAAGAGAGACGTGTAATGAAAGACTGAAGTAAGTTTCTCAAAACTTTTACATTTTGAAGTTCATAAAAACTTGCTTTTTGTTTGCTTGTTTCTAAATTTCCTCTCAGTTTGAAAATTTTACTAAATTATCTTCAGACTAAACTAGTTTAAAGACAGTCCAGTCCAACTGATAATGAGCATAATCAGATTACATGTTTGAGCTGGTGACAATGGTTTCAGTCGATGATTCATGGCTAGATCGCAGATTGGAAGTAACAGCACAGATCCTTCACATGATCTCAGCCCGTAGGAGCACAGACTGTCCTGTAACCAGAGGGTCACAGATTTGATCTCATAATCTTTTGTTAGATCAGACTAACCCATCCACACTGGAACGGCAGCAGAACGGGTTGATTTTCAAACGCTTAAAGCAGCTGGAAAAGTGACATCTGAAGTTCAAGGAGGCAATCAGGGTAGATGTTTAGGCCTACAAGATGTCTAGCTTTTCTTTTTTTTTTAAGATATATTTTTTGGGGGCATTTTGCCTTTAATGGACAGGACAGGGAAGCGTGAGGGGGGGAGAGAGAGAAGGGGGGGATGACATGCAGCAAAGGGCCACAGGCTGGACTCAAACCCGGGCCGCCGCGGCAACAGCCCTGCACATGGGGCGCCTGCTCCACCACCAAGCCACCAACGCCCCAAGATGTCTAGCTTTGACACTAAAGATGACGTGCATACCCTCTCCTACCAGCTGCATTGGTTTCTTTTAACCATGATCACAATCTTTTCCTAATTTGTCACAAATTGATCCATATGGCCCAACCAAGCCAAGCATATTTATAACTTAAAAACTTAAATACTTATAGCATATGAGGAAACCTTACACTAACAGTAATGCCTAATTTTAAGTGCATGGGTGCAATGTTATGGTGCAGCAACACAAGACAGAACATCAACCAAAAACCACATGGATGTCTAAGGGGAGGAGAGACAGCAACTGAGCTCCAGCAAGGTTTTTAAAGGAGACACTGGCACACAGGGCCCAGGTGTTGCCATTGCTGCCGATGAGCCCAGGTGTGACCACTTTGCTGATGAGCCTCTGCCACACCCTGCTCCAGTGCCTGCAGAGAAAACAGTCACACAAGGTAACAGGCAGACGGGGAGGACAGGATCGTCACATTATCCAAACCATAACCATTTCATACGCTGTTTTCATATATTGGTCATATCATCTGGGTATGAAGACTTGCTGAGCTTAGAAACCATTCATATAAGTTGTTTTGGAAGCAACACTTTTGCTAGACGGTGATTCTGTGAAACCCTGGATTGTATTAATTACCAACATTTTCAAATTTCTCACTTTCTACAGTATAAATGCATAACATTAGGGAAAAAAAAGATGTTTATAGCAAAGAAATATTGGTGAAGTCAATTAAACAGTTAGTGGTGAATAATAAAAAAAAATGTATGTCTCTGTTGCTTTAAAAATGACTTTATTTATTCACAATACTGGTCCCAGAAACAGTGGCATGGAGTTTGCTTGACAAACAATATCAGTTACACCAAAGAAAACAAGGTCACACAGAGAGGCGTGTGTGGCTCTTTGGAACATACAGTCGAGTCTCCATCCATCATAGCACAAAGTGAGACACCCCAAGGTCTTATAATCTTCCCAACTAGACAGTGTAGACCTCCGGACCAGCTTGGCAGAGTAGGTGAAAGTGAAAGGCCTGGATTGCTTAGCTGTGCCAGTGCAGAAACATACCCTTTTATATATATTATATATATATTTTAAGCTTGGGAAAACATGCTAAAAATAGGCAATACTTCCCCATTGCCAGTAGACGAGTATGCCTTTCTGTTGTGTCACACTGGTGTCACAAACGCACTGGAAAACAGGGTTAGTTAATGGACAACTCTGTCGCACTCTGAAGTCCGATGCCTGTGCAGCGACTCCCGGCGTCAGACACTGATGAAGAAAGCCATCCTTTAACGTTGGCATGAAACATGGCCAATTGCCGTCGTAGTTTAACAGCAGCTGGTGGCATCAGGGGAAACGCAGCGAGGCAAGAACAAAAGTTAAGGTGACAGGAGAGTGGTGTTTGTGTCCTGGGAGATTAGAAAGCCAGACCTGTTTTTTCCTCAACCCAACCACGCGCATCTGTTGTTGAAGGACAGACAACGTCAATTCATAGTTATACCAGCATAGTGCTTTTATTTTGAAAGAGACTGCATGCAAATGGTATATTTACTGTGAAAACGGAAGTGTATTTTGAAACAATGCATGCAACAGGCAGAACTTGACATGGCGTACCAGATCGCCAACTCACCATATCATGCACGTCATATCTCGATGGGGAAATCCATAACTAAATGTCGATGTGTGACGAGGTTGGAATGAGAATGTGTTGGCATGGAGGCCGGTGAAAATGTCACGGTGGTTATTTCTTTTTTTTATATCTGTTACTTATTCAGTCTGTCCGTCAAACTCGGTGCCAAATAATTTGGAGCAATGTGCAAGTGCTGCTTGGATTTTGTGGTGGCATGCTATTTCATTGTGCCAGAAAAGGGGCAAAAATGAGCACGTCCGCCCGGGTGTCATGTTGCAAATCACTGCCAATCAGAGCCGATTGGATCTGGAGCGGATTAATACCGTTGTCACCAAAGGCGTTTGAGCATGAGTCACTGAGCCCATGTTAGCATGATGGACAATGAGACTACACGACAATGCAAAGAAACCCAAATGACTAGTATTCAGTGGGAGTTTGGTTACAGTGCCTCAGACTTTAAAGTGAGTGAAATGTGTTTGAATATAAAACCAGATGTGACAGTCGCTCTGCTGGGTGTCTTTGTGGTGTAGTCAGCGCACGCAGGAATCAGAAAAAGGTCACATCCAAAAGTAGATATGAACAAACAACAACATAAAATCTGACACAAGCAGCAGTTAGAAACTGAACATGAAGTCCTGCAGTGTGAACATAGCTGCAGTTAACACCTTGCTGGCTCTGCAATCACATCTGCCCTCCTTGGCCCGGATTCAACTCCCATCAGCCCCCTCTGCACTGTCTCTCCCTCTCAGCCTTCCTACAGCCTCAATAAAGAAAATATAAAGTGTGTGTGTGTGTGTGTGTGTGTGTGTGTGTGTGTGTGTGTGTGTGTGTGTGGACTGACCAACTCTCCTATTAGAGCAAGGGAAGAAAAACACCACCAGCAATCGACTAACAGCAACTTGAGATGGCGGGCTCTCATCCATCACTCTGCATGTTCGCGGACGCCATATGAAAACACAAACAAGCAATCAATTGTTTTGCGCACAGCTTGAGGCCTCCTAATAGAGCACATTTATCTGACGCCGCGGTGGTAGCCCCAGCAATACTTTAATTTGTGAGACATTATGTTGAGTTAATGCCTACCAGGTTGCCGTTCAACCGGGGGGACTTGGCACATTTGGCGGCGTTGTAAAAGCCGGCACCGCGCTGTATTGTACTGGGACGCGGTGATGTAAATGATCTCACCCGCTGTATCTTTAATGGGTTGTGAAATGAATTTATGTGGGAATATTTGCAGAGGAATATTGCATTGTATCATGGCGTAATTAGAGAGCAGGAACTGCGCTGGCCCTGTACGGAAGCTGCTGCACGACGGACGGTGCTCTGTTTGTCCTTCGACCGCCCCTGTGATTGGATGGAGAGAGCCTGGTGAAGAGAGAGAGAGAGAGGGAGGGAAGCCAGGGCTCTCTAATAATGATGCACCCTCAGGCCTAATGTGCCATCTCCCTCTCTTTCTCTCTCTCCCTCTTTCTCCATGCTCTGGTCTTGTAAACACACACACACACACACAGAGCACAGTGCGTTTCATTCTTCCTCAGATGTGTACAATGCCAACAAAGAGTTCATTACAAAAGCCTGTTTTTTCCTTCATGTTGCAAACAAATTTAACCTTAAACTCATTATTTGATTTCTGGATTACGAACAAAGATCCAGTCAATAAAAGGGTTTTTATTCTTTCAATCGAGGCATTAAATTCACTAAAAGCCAGCATATTTCATTGTGAGTGTAAATTTTGAATGCTGCCTTTTCTCTCCAAATTATAGTAAATTCATTTTGGACACAACCAGGGTCTCAGCTTTAGTGTTTTCCTGTGCTGCTGACCCCTTTGTCTCATAACGATCACCAGTTTCAGGTCACACCATCACAGCCCTGCTTCCCATTGCATCAAGTGACAAGCTACAAAGCCTGGTGACTGAATCCAGTGTGTTTAATTTCCCAACGAATAAATGACACAGTGTTAACACACTGTCAGCATCGCTCTAGTTTTAACAGGGCCTCAGTTTAAAAAGGCTGCTGTCATTTTGCTTCTCCCTGTGATTGGGCAAGTCTCTCTGCTTTTCCATTACCGTCTGTGGTGTTAATGAAAAGGGGGATACCGTCTCGTTGGTGATCATCATCAAAAACATAAGCTCAATTTTAAATTTTCACAGACTCGGGATGAGTTTATGCTCCCTTATATAATCGAGCTTCATGACTATGATCCATGAATTCACCTTTGAAAGCATCTCTGCCCTTAAAGGGGATTAAAACACATATCACTACTAACCAATACAAAAATCACCCAAGCTATTTTCAGAACATTATTTATTTGTGTTTTTTCCCCTCTCAGGATAAAATGAGCTCAGATTGTTGCTGCAATAAATTAAAACAGTAAGGAAAATACTATACATGGGGAAAATGTTTAAAAAAGTAAATAATAAAGGGAATAAATGGTCAAAAAATAGTTAAATATAAAAGTAAATAAAACATGATGAAACAGAACATTAAAAATACACACAATGTGAATCAATGAAATATTAAGACAGTACATGAACATGAATATGATGCTAACATGAATTAAAAACACAATATAGTAAAAGAAGCCATGATGAGCCTGTTATTAATATTGAGTTATAGAGTCGGGAGTGGGTTAACCCTCCCTGGATATCATTCATATAGACTTTTGTTTGCAGGCAGATGTCACCCTTCTCCTCACCCTCCTCCTCCTCCTCCTCCTCCTCACCCTCCCTCTCCAGAATCGCCCGGGGCCAGGCTCCTGCCCGCTGCCCGGGGTTGAGGAGGCTGAGCTCGGCCTGACAGGCGGCTGGTGGCTCTTCAGTGCGGCAGAGGAAATTAAATTACCGCTCCTGTTGCCCGCTTTGTAAACAAGACAAAAGCCAATGATACGGCCAATTACACTTAAATACGACGCATGTGTACAACAGGCTCTCAGAGCAGACTGTGGAGTCAGGGACGGAGAGGAGCGTAAACAGGCTGTAGGGACAAATTGTGTTTTTATTTGTGCTGTAGAGATTTGTTGTGGCCAAATAATCATGTTTGATTTTTTAAAATTCGTCATAGTAGTTTGCAAAATCAAAATCGGGGCTGAGTGAAAAAAATATGAATAGCATATATAATAATATATTAATCAAAGTTTTGCCTTTGGTGGCTGAATTTGGCTAAATCAAAGGTTTAAATGATGTCTTCTATCAAAATATGTATTATCAAATTAAATTTTAATTTTAAATTATTGTGGGAGACAGAAAATAATTAATCACCTGCAGGAAACATTGCTTGACCTACCTACCTACTAAGTGTATTCATATTTAGCAACAAAGCAGGAAGTGCTCTGATGTTCAAAAAATTTAGCCCAAAATTATGAACATTTCCCTTTGCAGTGGTGCATCTTGCAGCAGTTGTGCAGCTGTGGACGAAATAGTTGACTCCTGCAGACAAAAGAAAATAAATGCATGTTATAATCTGTGAAGGGTAGCTTGTAAAATTATTAATTGGTTGAACTCAATTGATGTTTGTTAATGCAGAAATTACTGACTTAGCATCTGCTGCAAAATGATAGAAATCAGAGGCCTATGTGCACATTTTAGGAAAAAAAATAACAGTTGTAAAAATAAAAATATATATATAAAATAATAAGGATAAAATAATGAAAATAACTCTGTGTATTTTCTATGCAAAAACATGACAGATTAAATTCACTGTCGTCACTTTAATTCTGCAAAACGAAACTAAATCCATGCTCCCAATCTCCTCTCCCTTCCAAAAATCCTCCTCAAACTGCCTTCACAGTCTCACAATAAAGCCCCGATGAAAATGGCGATCAGAGTAAATAAAATAGATGGTCTTTATCAAAGTAAATTAGATTCAACTAAATAGTTCACCGGAGGGGCAGAGCAGTTCCTGTAATTCACTTTAAGGTTCACCAACTTACTCAATAAAGCCCTGGCTAGGAATCTAACTGATGTCTAATCGATAGGTTTATCTGAGGCGAACAGCTGGGAAGAGCAAAATGAATCGGTTTGCATTTAAAAGGAAAAGTGGAAAAGATAAAGTCGAGGAATCTGACGTCGTGTAATGAAATTGCGGGTTTTATTTTACCTGTTTGTGTCGATTTTTTTTCCTTCAAATAGACTGAAGTCACAGGGGAAAAAGTTAGAAATAAAACACAATATTTTTTTTTATTTTTTTACCAACAAAATTTAAGTCTATAATAATAATAATAATGATACATAAAATAAATAATAATAATAATAAATATGTTAAAAATAAATTACCTGTTTCCTTGCAGCCTGTGAGGCCTGTAACGCTCAGTGCAGGAACATGACATCCCTCCATCCTCCCAGTCCCAAGCCTGCATTTCAGCGATTTCTCCTCTCTTTTTTCACTGTTTTCACTCCCCCCTCTTCTTCCCCCTCCTCCTCCTCCTCCTCTCCACCCCTCTCCTCCTTTCCACTCCGTCCAGTTTCGAGTCGTCTGATCCGGGCAGGAGGCGCCAGGTTTTCCCCTGAGGGAGGCGAAGAGTCAAGGACTGAACCCTCCAAATGCAGAATAATGTAATTCCACACTCTGAATAAAAAGGGTTCCCACATGCAGGATGGTTTCTTTGTGGGGTTGTAGTTTATAACAGAACCCTACACTCTGAAGAAAAACAGATGCTGGAGGCAACGGAGAGGTGGCTCTTCCTCCATCACAGAACCATGGGTGTTGTACACTCTCAAGAAAACGGGTCTCACAGGCTGCCAAACAATGGCTCTCAATCTTGTGTTTAATCGCTTAGTGATTGAGTATTTGGTGCGTGATGACGTGCAGATAATCAGAACAGTTGTAAATAAACTGATAACTCTGGACATCACCTAAACCAGTGGTTCCCAACTGGTGGGTCATGGTCCAAAAGTGGGTCGCATGTCCCTTCCGAATGGACCGAAAGTGACTCGCAAACATGTCACTTTATTTTTAGGTATAGTGAATTCTCGGCAGTTTTTTAAAAATATAGGACACCTACTTGACAGAGAAACTAGCTTGTTGACATGAGGAAACGCTTAACGCAAATGTATTAAACTGTGTGGACTTTGAACTAATGACTAAGAAGAGATCTGGACCCCGTGCTGGACCAATTGGGAACCAGTGACCTAAACTGTCTTTTTTGGGAGTGAAAAACGTGAATGTACCTTTTAAAAAAAACTGTGTTATGACAACTACAGTGGGTAAACTAAGTCAAGGTTGAGTATTGTGCAGTATCTATTAAATGTTTGCAATGAATAGTTTGGATAATATGTTACTAACAAACTAACATTATTAAACTAGTAAGACCCTGGTTGTAAAAAACAAAATTTGATATTATCCACTGCAAAAAAAAAGTAATAAAAATAGATAAAGATAAAACAAATTAAAATAGAATCAAATAAAAATAGTAAAGAATGAAAGAAAACCCTTACTTTCTATGACATTACCTTATCTGATTGTCTCAGTGTTTCACATTAATATCACGTTTAATTACTAATTACTGTAATTATTCCAGAAAAACTGAAAAACATGACATGCAGCCTGTTTTTTTGCACAAATAACTCCAAATTGCATGTGCGATATTTAAACTGTTAGCATTGACCTATTGAACCAGTGTTTAGGCTGATGGAATAAATGTCTTGGCACAATTTAGTAGCATTAGCATTTAGCATTAGGTTAGCTTAGTCTCTGGGTTTTAGGAGTTCTGTAGGTTATAAATGTTACTGTATATCATATGCACTTTCTTTTCTTAAATCTAGATGCATTCTAAAATGTGTTTGTACATTTTAAAATACAATTTGCTTCATGTCTTGGCCTCTACTCTCAAGCTTTTGATAGCTTATCAGGGTTTCACATCTGCACTATTTCTTATGAACTGTGCATGTACTTTTTCTTTACCTGCTCCCGTGAATACATTTGCAAACTGAAAGTTCTTCTCAAGCTTTCAGTATCACCAAATGGTTCTTGCACCATGAAAGGACGTCATTCAGATTTTGACTGTTGGAGGAGATTTCCAGTTGAGTGAATAAGAACAGCAGGGTGCAAACTTGTTGAGACAGAAGACGTGTTCAAGAAACGGATGTTTTCTTTCATATGTTTATTTTCTTAAATGTTTGGCTACTCAGCCCTCATCAGGGTTTAAAACACTGCAATGAGAGAATTACTTGTATTTGTTTACAGTGATTTTGCGTCAACCTTGGAGTCCACACTCTCAGTAAAAAGGTTTGTAAATGGTTCTTGCGTCATAACAAGTATTGCAAAGAATTGGCAATGCAGTCTGTAGAATCCTACCATACTGGTACAGTGGAGAACCTTAGGCCACATCCACACAAATATGGTTTCATTTTCAAATGAAAAGATCTTCATATGCACAAATATTTTTTGCACCATTTCAGGAATAATCTCCGTCCATACTAACACACCTGAAGACGCACATCACATGACCATTCACTACACTGGAGGAAGCCATGGCAACGGGAAAGGAAGAAATGATGAAAGGTACCTAGCTGTAATGTTTGGCTTGACATGTTATGAAATAAGATCCAACTAAGAAGCAAACGTGGGTCTCTGCGTCATCATTTTCAAAAGTCTTAATTTCCTCCTGCCCAGATTGAAATGCTACCCGGGAATTTACAAACCGAAACAGGGTCAGCAGTGTTTTCAAAGGTCTCCATTTTAGGGGTTCAAAACGCCAGAGTAGTGCGGACACTAGGTGTAAACGTAACAATAGTTAAATGTTTTAAAATGAAATGTATCGTAGCGAGGATGTAGCCTGACTGACTGAACATTTAATGAAACCACTTATCAAGTTTTCACAATTACAAAGAGACTCTTTGGACTGCTGTGATGGTACAACACAGAGGTGATCAGAACTTTGTTATTGAAGCCTGTTCCATATGACCTCAGTGGTAATTTATGCTGCTGTAGTTCTATGAAATAGGGAGTTAAGGCTTGTGGAGAAAACTTACATGCAAAACCAACCTGGTCTCACTCGGAAGTCGTTGAAATCCAGTGCTTGGGCAATGACTTCCGGCATCAGACACCGACAACAAGAAACGTCCTTTCATGTCAGCGTGATACGCGGACAGTCGTTGACGGTCACTGACAACCTAATGGTACCATCCGTGTCTTGCTAGCTTGTCTGATAGTAAATAACCTTCCGAAGTTAGGCTAAATTATAACGAGGGCAAAATGGCATGGCGATTTTCAAAGGGGTCCCTTGACCTCTCATTTCAAGATATCGGAATGAAAATAGGTTCTATACCCAGGAGTCTCCCCTAAACCAACCAGGTGTCACTCCGAAAGCATTTAAATCTGGCGCTTGGGCAGTGACTTACAGCGTCAGACACCAACGATAAAAGCCATCCTTTAAGGTCGGTGTGACATGTGGACGGTCGCCATTATAGTTTAAAGGTGCCCAGTGGCATCACAGGGAAACACAGTGGGACAACAATGGAAGTTAAGGTCGCTAAAGTCCGAGTAGGGCAGGCAGGAGGGATGGTGGATGTGTCCAACAAACACAGACCCTCACCCAGGAGAGTGGTGTTTGCGTCCCGTAAGATAAGATAGCCCTGTTCTTTTTTCCTCAAAAAAAAAATAGACATGTAACAGGCTAAACTTGACATGGTGTCCCAGAACATCAACATCCAACGTCATCATATGTCAGCATGGAAAGTCCATGACCAAATGTTGATATGTGACGAGGTCAGAGTGAAAGTAATTCTAACGTACAGAAGCCATTGAAAGAGCATTAAGTCCTTAATATTAGTTGGGTGATAAACCTCACACAGTACATTACTGAACCATTAATTCAACAGTTCAGTGAACAAATAAAATATGAAAAAAATAAATAAATAAATAAACTTCAAAATGGGTGTGCGGGGGGTGCGGGGTGGGGGCCAATGTGGGTTCTTGGCCCCAGCATATCTAAAAGCCTGTCAGGGCTACAGGGGAATGTTGAGGGATAAATAAACGGAAAATAAAACATATTCGAGAACCACATTATTTCTTAGGCTGTTTAACAGAGGACGACCAAGCCTCCCCTGACCACTGAACCCTGTTTTTTCCGGGTGTAAATTCTGAAATTCAAGCTAACAGCAGCAGAGAGCCAAACAGGGCCTGGGAGGGAGGAGGATGACAGCCTTCGTCACACTAATCTCCGACATCCTTGATTGCAGAGGCAGTTTTTTCTCCCCTCCCCAGGTCTGGGATCATTTCAGCTGTCAATTTAAATGCGTCCGTTATCGGACAACTTAGCGGCTAGACATCCATTATCGGACGCCCCTCCTGTCTGGATTTGCCTTTTGCCCATTTTTTTTTTTTTTTTACGCAAAATTTGGACAAGACTCCACAAACAACCAGCTGACAGCATGTACAGGAGTTAAACCATGCATGTCCGTTTTTTGTTGATACACACATTCATGTTTTGTCGGATTAAATGTCAGTGCGCTCTCCTGGTGTGAGCAAATACAGGCCACATCTCTTGCAGCCAAATAGCTGCGGCACTGAAAATGAACATTTTGAAAATATACGCATTCATCAAACTGAAACTAGGTCAATTTTTTGCACCGAGATCTGCATTGTTGCATCGTCACATTGCGCACAGCAACAAGAAACACTTGCAATAAGTGTGTTTCCCCTCATCATCTCTCTTTGCAGAAACAATTAGTGAACACCAAGTCCGAGGAAGCGTCTCCCATGATGAACTGTGGAAAAACCCCAGTGACCAATAACAGGCTTTGCACAAACTAATGACACAAAACAGCGTCTAACAAAATCAAGAACATCAGCAACAACAGTAACAGGCTTAATCATCATAATTATGATACTGTAAAGCACTGCTATGCTCACTGTGGATACTTGTTAAATATTTCCATTTCCTCTCCATGCTGCTTCCACTCTGCAACATTTCTGGAGACACTTTACCTTTTTTTTGCTTCCTATGTTTCCTCTGTTCGTTTTAATTTGGTATGTAGGCCCCTGGTCCCCCAAATGAAAGCTAAACCGACCGGTAGGTCGCTAATATATCGGGGAGGCAACTGTGACAAATTCCTTTTGTCTCCGCTTTGCTGGTACTTTATTACCCAGACGAGCAGCATGGCCTGGAGATAACGATTCATCACGCACAGCCGGCAACCATAGACAACGCCTTTGGGCAAAGTCAGCGAGGAGCTCTCATATTGAGAAAGAGAGGGAGTGTGTATGTGTGTGTGTAAGAGAGACAGAGTGTGTGAGAGGGGGGTATACCTTAATTGGCAATGGGGTTTTATTGCATTAGTAAAATTGCTGATTACAATCCTGCACAGCATCATGTCACGTTTGCATTTCAAAGCTATAGGTAGACCTCCTATTGGCCTATTTTATAGCTAGTTTTATAGTGGCAGCCCATAATAAGTCAGGGATCTTTATTTAAATAATAATAATAATAATTTTAATTCCCTCATGTTTTGCAGCTATAGCTTATTAGATAAAATTTTAATGATCCTGATGGGAGAGCTGGGTCACTGAGGCAGCAGATAGAGAGATGTATAAGAAGAGAGCAAAAGTAGCCTATAATGAAGATACTTAAAGAAGCATTTAGAGGAAACGG